CCCCCCCCCCCAAACCGGGGCCCTGGGCTTTACTCTCCAAATGCGTCAAGTCAACATCTCCACATTTAGTTAAAAAAAAATTGCATTCAGTTCATCAACAGGCACCAAAAGGTCCAAAAGTGTCCAGACATAAACTTGAATCAGTTTTATTTCTACTCTCTTTATTGTAGGTAATTGTTGTTGTCATCATATAATATTATTTAGGAAGAAAATAAGTAAAAATCATGAGTTGTGATAGGTCTTGAACAGAGAGGAAGCAAACCTATATAATGTCGCATATTAAAAAAAAGGAAGATTAGGTGAGAGACCATGGTTAATGACCTCATCCAAAGATAAATCATAACATAATTCATTATTCCAGGTTACTACTACCAGACAAAAATAAACGACAAGAATAAGGCGTAAACTTCAACAGTAGCTCATTATTATTTTATCAGTATATAGCAGTAGTACTATTAAAGAAATGATATTAATTAGAAGACAATTGAGTTGCAACTTAAACTGATGCTAACCTGACGCGTTTTCGTTTCCAGAGGATAGTTCTCCAAGATGAGATGTCCCAATTGGAGTTCCAAGTCAAAGTGGAGTTGGAAAATGGTAAGAAAACTCTCAGCCCTTAGCTGTGACAGAGACGTCAATAAAGTATTTAAAAATTATAAACATTCAATGTTTAAACTCTACGCGACACAAAAATCACTAAATAATTTTCTTTTTTCCTGATTAAGTCTCGGTGAGCATAAATATTCATCACTTACGATTTTTGTGATGATAGAAGATAGCAAATACTCTTGGAATAGTTAAGGCGCGATTGAGAAATTGATGTTAATAAAGAAAATCCTTGCATCAGATTCCTTCAGTTTGAGGTCAAAAGCACAATTATGAAAAGCCCTCAGCACATTCACTTGATCTATTCTATTTTATGTCTTTTCTCTAACTACGACTTAAGTTCTTCTAACTTTTAATCATTACCACACTTTTAAAACTTATCTAAAGACTATTTATCTCTGCTTTTTCTCCAAATTTACCTCAACGTCTCCTACCATATCCAAGCTTTGGTACTTTTTGTCCCTGTGGTATGATTCAGGCATGGTCCCTTCTCCAATCTTATCAATTAAACATATACTAATAAAGTATGTAATGTCACCGACTTTGATGTCTACTAGGACTTCGGCAGCTTGTGAAATATGGTGGTATTCAGCCAATTTCTTTTTAATAAAGTTGACAATTAGGAACCAACTTGCCGGCTTCGTGTTAAAGTATATAGTTGAAATGGTTCAGAAATATTAAATTCAATTCTATAAATTACTTGGATTCGGTCCACCCTAGAGGTGGTCACTTCTAGGATCAAGCCTCATTGTTGGCTAAATTTTGTCTTTAAATGGATTAATTAGCTTGGAGTTGAACAGCAAGCATTAACACTTTTAAGTTACCAGGTCTATGATTTAGTTATGCATGAATTATAATATGAAGATTATTTATGCAATGATTAATATCAAAATATATATTTATGCAATAAATAGTAATGTGAGTATTGTTATATTATAAATAATAATGCAAAAAACACTATGTACAAATTACCTACCTAGCGTAAAAGCACTTTTTAGATACTCTTATTCAGATATTACTATTACTCGTATTCTTATTCCAAACGTTGCATTACTAAAACGTTAAATTATACTAGCAATGCATAATTGTACACCGAATCAGTGAGACTGAATTCTATACCGGAAGTAAACATCCTTAACCTTCAAAGGCTCAAACCAAACAACTTCTCAATGCCTTAATGAGACATTTGATAACAATTCCACCAGATTTGATGTAACCTTGCTTAAAAGTATTACTTATATTTAATCACATAACAGCTACATTTGTAATAAACAGCAAAGGAGTTTATGATAGACAATCAGCTTCTACTGTACAACAACAAAAGACCTTTTTCTTTTCCTACACAAAGGAGGCAGTAGAACAATCTTAAAAAGTGTCAACTGCCTCAGAGCTTTCCTCCTGCCAGTCTATGCTCAATTCTTGGGGCTGAGGGCACTATACTTGGGCTTGCCATTTTGTTTTGCTCCATCAACTAAAATTCCATGGTCCTGTACAGTATAAACCTGACCCTTCTCAACTAGACCAAGTATAGTTATATTTTTCCATTGAGCATTAATGAAGTCAATATCATGAATTTCTTCCTAAATCTTTCCCACTGAAATCTCCACTACCAAAAGATCCTGCTGCAGTCGCCATGTCTAGATTACTACCCATGGATGTTAGGAGAGCTGACAATCCAGGCGATGGACCGCCACTAGCAGCCATTCCCAATCCAAGAAGGTCAAGAGTAGGATGCTTGGGACCAAAAACAGAGGGAGTTCCCAACATTAATTCCTTTAAACCAGAACCGGCATCACAGGGTAGTCCAAGCCCAAGGCCTGCAGCCAATGACGCACCATTGGTTTCAATTGGTCTCCCGCTCCATTCTTGCTGTCCATTAGAAGGCAATGAGGAGGACATAACCCCAAGGCCCCTCAACAATGATGAGCTGGTTGCTGCTGCACCCATCTGAGCTGCCTTCTGCAGTAATGCTGTTGCAGACATGGCCGGTTGTGGTACTGGAGCATATTGTCTCCGGTCTTGTCCAGCTGGTCTAAATATTGACGAACCATGATTCATCGCTAGGCAGAGAGATATTGGTTCCGTAGACGAAGGTGGCGCCATTTCAGGTACGCGGTCAGGAGCCACGGCTCGAAACAAGTCAGTGAATCCAGGAGCTTGAGATGGCAAACTTCCCGAAGCTGTTGATGAAGCAAACAAGCTTCCAAATACATTACTGCTAGTACTTCCATTACTACAAGAGCTACTACTGCTGCTACAACTTCCAGTCAAGCTTACTAAAGCTGCTGTTTCCTCCATAAACTGTTTGTTAGCAGCTCCTGCAGAATTTGGGTTCGAATTCTCCCTTAACTCTGCAGAAATTAGACAATTATAGAAAGACAAGAAGTCATAGCATACTTGTTTAAAGAAGCACAGAAAGTTAAAAACTTTTCATATAAAAGAATGTTATCTGTAGCAAAAGTAGAATCAACAACAGTATCTGCACTAATTTAAGTATACCACTTATTTCTTTCTTTAGCCAATAGTATCTCAGACTGAATCTTCATTTTTAATTATTTTACTTGATTTCTTTTTGTTTTTCTATTTCAGACCCTACTTCTATCTATAGGATTTGGATTGATTTATACGAAAGATTTCCTTTGTATAACGAGTAATAATACAAGGAAAAAACAAAGGATCAATAAATGACAAAATTAACTAGACTCCAAGATAAAGAAAGAACAAAGCTCTTTTGTTTGGTATGTAACAACCACACAACCGACAAACTAAAAATCCACAAAATTTAAAATTTCAAACATCAACTCAAAAAGGTACCTGGATTCTGAACAGAGGAAACAAATGATATCACGGTAGTTGACGGAGGAATAGCAGCAGGGGGTAAAGTCTTTGGAGCTGCCGGCGGAGGAAGAGATGGTGGTGGTGATGGTCGTGGTTGAGACTCGGCGGCAGGTGGAGGCGCCGACGGTGTAGGTGGTGGTGATGATGAAGCAGCAACTTGTGTCTTAGGTTCTTCATTAGTAACATTAGGAGGTTTCTCTGGTACTGCTTTTGCACTCTCTTGAGCTAATACATCACAAAAAGCCCTATGTGTGATAAAGCTATCCCTCCTATATAGTATTATTAGCAAACAAAGTTCTCAACTTTAGAAACCAAAGAAATTAAATTGTCATCACAAAAAGTCTTAAGAGCAATAACAGGGACAATTAAAAGGAGCATAAAGAATTCACCTTGAAAATAAAGTGCCACAATCACATTTATACTCTCTAGTACCACAAATCTTAGAATGAGCCTTTAAATCAGACTGAACTGCATATTTCTTGGAACATTTATCACATTTCCACTTCTTCTCACCATGTTTACGGCAGAAATGTTTCTTAATTCCGGTCAAATCGCCCAATGCCCGTGAAGGATCGTGGTGAACACAAGTGGTTTCAGGGCAAACATATACTCTCTTCTTCACCTCTTGCCCAGATCTCTGCCTTAACTTCCATGGCAAATTATGACCCCTTCTATGCAGCTGCAAATTCTGGTCTCTTTGAAACCCTTTACTGCAAATTTCACAAACAAATCTGTTCGTCGCCAGTAGAGTTTTAGGTGACAAAGCAATAACCTCTGCATCGGGATCTAATCAAAACAAGAACAAAACAGAAGGCCAAAAAATCAAATCTTTACTGAATTTTGTAATTAGGGTTCATCAAAAACTGTAGTTAAGACTAAATTTTACCTGGCATCCCAGGAAGATTTCGTTTTTTCTTAGCTGATTCTTTCTGAGGAGGAACTTGATTACCTGAAGAAGAAACACTTACTTCACCTGAGCCTGTTGAATCGTTCATGGCGGATGAGTTATCTGGGTCGGCCGGCATGATTAATTACTTCTTAGGGTTTTTTGGGGGGTAGCTAAAAAGGGAAATCTATAGAACTTTTTGATATCAAACTTTTCACGGTTCTTGATTTTGCTTCCCTTTTGCCGTATCTACCAGTCAATCTTTGCTCTCTTTTTTTCCTTTCTTTTTTATACCCAACTACCAGTTCTGATCAAACCAAGCTAAATTAGCAAATACCCATGATTTAGAATTAGCTCAAAACAAAGTAAACGAACAAAACCCAGATGCCAAAATCACCGGCGAAAGTCGCAAACTTTACGCAAATGGGGTTGCTTAAAAGGAAAGATGATGGAGATAAGTACCGGACCGGAAATGAGAAGTGGACCGGTGAGCAAGTCGGCGGCTCGGAAATCTAGAGAGAGAAAGAGAGGAAATTTAATGTGAGAATAGAGACTGCAAAAAGTCTACTGAGTTCTTGGGTCTTTCACTCTTACTTTTCAAGAACATGAAGAAAAATATACCCCGAGTAAAATAATAAGAATAGGAAATGATTATGAATGGAAATATTGGAAATCATAGTAGGAGTAGTTAAGTACTTGTCGTTTACAGTGAAGTAAATAAATGTGTCTGAACTCTGGAGTAGGATAAGGACGTCTGCTGTATTATTATTGTTAGTAGTTGTTGTTCAAATCTTTAATGCACGATAGTTTTTTCCCCGTTAAGTCCTTAAATGAAAGGCACATTTTGACCATAGTCATCTACGATTAAAAAAAATGTGAGAAAAGGGATAATAAATTTTCGATAAAACGTAAAATTATTTAGCGTAGTACTTAATTAGATTTTTATTTTGAGTATAATATATTCTTATTTAGTTATACTATAATTTTATATTATTTTTAACTTGGGATAACAATTTTGGAATAGTTAATTATGGGATAAACAATCAAAGATCGAAGTACTTTTTTCAAAGTTCTTCGTTTTTAAGAAGATTAAGATTAAATTAAAAATAAAATAAAAAATTATGTAATAATATTGAAAAGTTTATTTTCCAGCATTATAAAGAGGTTCTTGAAGAGTGGCCTTGGAATAATGGTAAAGTTACTTTCGCGTGGCCTATAGGTCACAAGTTCAAGTCATGTAATCAGTCTTTGGAGTGCGATCCTTTCCAAACCCTGCCTGAATGTGAGATGCTTCGTGTACTGAAGTGCTATTTTAAAGAGGTTTTTGAGCTTTATAACCTGTTTGGCCAAGCTTCTCAGCATGCCAAAAGTGCTTTTTTTCAAAAAAGTATTTTTTTCCTCAATTTGAGGTGTTTAGCCAAACTTTTTTTTGAAAAAAAAAAGTGCTTTTAACTAGAAGCAGAAGCATTTTTGAAAAAACAGAAAAAAATAGCTTCTCTCCAGAAGCAGAAGCAGAAGCAGTTTTGACTTTTCTTCCCACCAAAAATACCCTTTGCAAAATATTATATATACCAAAAATAACCTTACTTAGTTTAAACTATTAAGTAATATAAAATGACTTTTGGGATGAACTTTCATATTTATTGGATGATTTTTGATATATTTAAATTATCTTGAAAGAATAAAGTACTTTTTAATTTTATTTTTATATTTTAATTAAATAAAATAAAAAACTTAATTATTATCTTTAATAATAAAAATTTATAATTATTTAACTACTTGTATAATATTAACTATTAAGCAAATCTCTTCGTGTCCTTATTTGTAATTTGACACATAAAAGTACTTTTTGAAAAGTTTGGCCAAACATAAATTATTGTTCAAAAGTGATTTTCAAATTGATTAGCCAAACACAAACTGTTTTTCTCCAAAAATACTTTTTTGAAAAGCATTTTTAAAAAAAGCACTTCTCAAAATAAGCTGATTTTTCCAACTTGGCCAAACAGGCTATTATTAGTCCTCACCTTAAATCCAACCCTAAAAGCAACAATCTAAATAGTTTAAAAAAATATTTCAACTTCATATTTTTCACATAAATTAAACGACTACAATATTTATTTTTGAGCTATGTGTTCTCGCTTAATTTTTACTTTCTATTAAGATTAAATTAAATTATTTGATTTAATATAAATATCAAGTACCAGTAAACATTAACCATAGTATATATTTTTGCTTTTTTTAGCTCAGAACTAGAGCAGTCGTATAATTTTTCAAGAGACTGTCATGAGTCTGTTACCAAATTAAATGGAGTGGAGAAAATTTAGAATACTTGATTTGGCTCGGCATTACAATCACATCTTCATTTGTCCTCCATTCAATTTTCAATCATCAGTCAATTTTCATCTCCCTCTTTCTTTGCATTTACAATTAGCCCCTCTTCCACATACATCAACATTCAACATTTTTTATTCTCCCAAACAAGAAAAAGTGGAAAAATGCTAAAATTTGAAACTGATTGAACTTGCTTCTGATTTGGTAAGTTTGGCAAAACAAACTTTATTAAATGTTTTCTCATAAACAAGAACTGACTCAATCTAATCACAAACATTCCTAGCCCCACGGCTTGGGGAGTTGAAATAACAATGGTCAATTTGTCAACAACTTAGGCCAAAGTTTCTACAAGTGAAGGGAGTAGCTGGTCTTTGGAGGTGTAAATTTGTTTTCTTTTTTCACTTTTTACACACAAAAAAATGGAAAGTTTTTCAGCCAAATGCGTAATAAGAGAGTTTATACACTAAAAAAATATTACTTGTGTTTGGTTGACAAAATTGTTCAAAAAAAAATTCTAACACTTTTGAAAGCATACGCCATCTAAAGTGTGTTGGCTGATTAATGAGAAAATAATGGTGCTTTGTTGAATTAAGGTTAAAAAATAAGTGTGTTGCCTAGAGTGAAAAAGTCAAGCCAACTTTCTTTATAATTAAGCTTTCTTCCAAATATGAAAATTCAACGTGCTGTTACTTCCGGGAATTGAACATTTGTTACTTATTATCCCAATCCTAAATTCGTTGTTAGCCTTTTTATTAGGATTACAATAATCATATAAGCCAAGTTTTGAGGTAAAGAGTCCATTTCCTCCATTAAGCAATTAAACAACACAATTTATCTAAGGATACAATTATTTTTTATGTTCCATTTTATGATACTGTATGATCTTACTGTGATAATTGAAGAATATATTTAAAAGAAATGATCGAAAAATTAATTTGATGGAGGACGCACCACATTAGCGTTTAAAATATTAATACTTGAATTTGAAATTTTTAATGGAAATAGCTCAAATATACCATTAATAAATGGCCTATTTATGCCATCCACTAAAAATTAGACATATTCATTATGCCACTAATGTTACACTATTGGCTCATATATGTCATTATCTACTAACGAAACCTACTACTACCAGATTTTGCCACGGGGCCTTATCTAAATGTTTCATCCCTTACCAGCCCCAGCCGCTCTCACTCCTATTTATGAGTGGTACATATGAGCCATTTCATTAAGTTTAGTGGCATATTTAAACCTTTTTCCTATTCCTTATATTACATAACTCTCTTGGGTTATAAATTTTATCTATCATTCGATGCATGACATTCAACCTTTTAAAATCGTATTCCTGTATAAAACCTCCATTTTTCTAATTTTATGTAGCAAACTTATAAGAACAAGTTTGTCCCTTATACAATAATATTATTATTTTACATAAATAACTATACTCTCTTATTTAATTTAATTGGACTATGAATCTAATTCTATTTTACCTCATTCAAGAATTTCTCGTATATTAGCTCTTAAAAAGATTTTAAAAAGGAAAAATGGTCAAATATGTCCTTATACTATTGAAAAAGGTCTAATATTACCCTCCGTTATACTATCAATCCAAATATACTCCTAACATCATACTATCGATCCAAATATACCCCTAACATCATAAAAATTGTACAAACCTATCCTTTCTCCGTTAACTGCCTCCCTATGACCAAATTTTATTGTTACCTCACCATTTCACCCCGTTTGCAGCTACCAAGTTCAATGACTTGGACGTTCTATCATTATTTTGAAGACTTCACTGCCTCAACTTCCTCTTACTTTTCAAAATACCTATTGCTTCTCAGGTTGACCCTGGAATTATACGTACCTTTCACTTGACCTTACAATTTTGTGTTTCATTTTGTATTTTATTGTGTTGCCGCTGAATTTGTAAGACCTATTAAAGAAAATTTTAGTAGCACTTTTATATTAACAAAAAACGTAAAGATAGAAAAAAATGGCAACCTTCCAGAAATGTGGTTGAAGAGAAAGAAACAAAAAAAAAAAAATAACTCTCATGCCTAGATTGTTTTTCTTTCTCACCATGGAATTCAATTTTGAAACCTTAAACTAGTTTGCACTTAGTTTTTTATATAAAACAAAATATATTTTCATTCGTACAAGCATGGATTGTGTATAAAAAAATAAGAATTTTCTCGGTTCACATTGTTTCATATTATTTTTAGTTGTTGCATTTCTTTTGGTACAGTTTGTTTGTATATCTATGATCTATAATTTTTCTTCAAATGAAAGGGGAATAAAGGTTGTAGAGAAGGGATGAAAATGAGAGTAGAATGGTGAGGTGGCAATGAATGTGGTCATAGGGAGGAAGTTAAAAGAGGAATGGCAGGTTTGTACTAATTTTATGATGTCAGGGGTAAATTCAAATCGATAGTATGATGCTAGGGGTATATTTACACTGATGATATAACGGAGGGTAATATTAGATCTTTTTCAATAGTATAAGGGCATATTTGACCCTTTTCCCTTTAAAAAACACATAAAATTTATTTAAGGAAAAAAAAAAGAGATGATTTTAAAATAGAGTACATTAATGAGGTGTATTTGGATATGGAAAGTACATTTTAGTGTGTAAATTAAAGAATGTATATATTTCATGGTGGAATTTGGACTATTGTTGTCACGATTCGAAATTTCCCACCGACGGGACCGTGATGGCGCCTCACTTGCTAGGCAAGCCAACGTTAGAGAATCATTAACCAATATCTTATTTCTATTCAGTAATAAAAAAATAATTAACTAAGATGAAATATAATAAGTGCGAAATATCATAAAATTGTATTAACTACTACCACCTGGATTTGGTGTCACCATTCACGAGCATTCTAGAATTTACGACAAGTAATATTCTGAAAGAAATACAACTGTCTGAATGAAAGAAAACAGTAGGACATAAAAGATAGACGGAGACTTCAAGATGTGAACGCCCACAGATCTACCTTGAGTCTCCGTACAGCGAACCAGTAACAAATCTCGATCAACTTGAGCTGGTATCAAAATCTGCACAGAAAGTGTAGAGTGCAGCATCAGTACAACTGACTTCACATACTGGTAAGTGTCGAGCCTAACCTCGGCGAAGTAGTGACGAGGCTAGGACAAGACACCCACATATAACCTGAACAGTATAATCATGCTAGAGGCAACAACAATAAGTAAAACAATAATGCAAAAATAATAGGAGGGGAACAACAGTGGGGTAATACAACATAAAGAGTGAGAATAATGAAAGGACATAATTAAATCGGAAATCCTTAAACGAATTGAGCAATCAAGACAGCAAGAAAAACTGCACGGCATCACC